GGATACACTAGATGTAACAGAAAATGCTATCAGTTATCTCCACAAATAATAAAGGAAATGATGAAGCCCAATAACATAGCCCCATATATTTTTTAAAATTATTTATTTTATTTTATTTATTATTATTTTAAAATTTGCTATAGGACATGTACGCTAACTAGAGAGAGGAAGGAAAAATAGGGGAGCAAGCTGCAAGGTCCTGGAATCAAACTCCAGTTGGCCATGTGGGATTCCAGCATCTTAACCACCATACCATGCCACCTGCTGGCCCCAGCCATATATAGTATAATAAACAATATTTCATTTGTTATTTAAAATATTTTAGTGATACAGTCAAGATTACCTTAAATAGTTTAAATGCTTCAGAATTTCTCTGAAAAAAAAGTTTAAGAGGAGGTTTGAAAGTTGTAAAACCTAGACCTTTCCCCAACCCCTATAAGCAAGATAATTTGAGAAAGTTTCTCATAAAAAGTTGACGCATCTCACAAATTTAGCTATTTAGTAACATTATACTATTGCCATTTTCCTTGACCTTCCACCAGATGGAAATCATCAACTCTAGGCAATTTTGCCTTAGAAATCTTGTTTGTTTTTGTGAGAGAGGAAATAATGCATTGTTACATCTTCTCCCACAGTGTCGTTATTATTAAATTAATGATGTAATTTTCCATGAAAAGAGTTTCATGAGCTCATAACAATCTCATAAATAAAACAGAACCAGCTCATCTGGTGAGCTGTGTCTTATACATCAAATAGTACCAGATGCTTTATAGGGAGGTAGCAAAGTACAGGACCACAGTGTTATTTTGACCGGATTATTTATATCACATTCATTCATCTAGTTCATTCTCTAAATAAATATCATTATTTTGTTAGCATTAGCACAATTAAAAAGGCTTCTTGTGATTTAATAATGATCTTTCCAAAAGGAAGTTAAATATTCAAGTCAGGTCCAAATTATGAAAACATACCAGGGCTACCTAGAATTAACAAGATTCTCTTCCTCTTGTTAGACTTGAAAATATGATTCATTATAGAACAACCAATTGTTACTTATGACTTGAGAAAGGTGAGATACTTTACCTTTAGCAAAATACAGATTTTCTTTCCTTTCTTTTTTTCTTTTTTTCTTTTTTTTTTTTTTTGAGATTTTTATTATAGGGCATATGTGCTCACCAGAGAGACAGAGGGAGATGGAGAGAGAGAAAGTGAGAAATCACCTCCCAGGGAGATGGTCACACTGCAATCCCTCCTCCTCCATTCTCTTGTTGGGGTTTTTGGCACAGATGCACATGTACCCGGCATGAGTTTCAAGCTGCTGGGTCTAGGACTCAAACCACAGTCAACCATGTGGGAGTCCAGATTCTTAACTACTATGGATCTTCTGACCCCATAGAATTATTTTCATAATGAAATTAATTAGTTTGTACTAATGCGATACTATGACTCATAATGTAGAAGTTCAGCTGGCAACAAACCAGTGTGAGAAGATACCTATAAATCTAGGATTGTCTGTTTTCACTTGTGTCACATGGAGACAGGAAGACAGGTTCAGTATATGTCACAAGCACATGTACATACCACCACCACCACCACTGCCTCCACCCACACCAGTGCAAAAGCTGTATTGGACTTTTCAGAGTTAAAAACAGAGTGACTGCATAGTCATTAGGAAGACTATTGGTTAGCACTCTTAAGAGTCATGATTGGGATTTATAGTGCTTATCTGTATTTGATCTTAAAACATTGTTAACATTTATGTCAAATTAAAGTGAAATAACTGTGAGCACTGAAGGATCAAATGACCCAAGCTCTGTTATACAAATAAATACACATTTTAACATGAAGTCTTTTTTCAATCATTACCTTATATAATTTTCAGTCAAAATTACTTTACTCTGTCTACATCATAGGCATCTATTATATTCATTCTTATAAATATCCACTTCTGATTCATTTTTTATATATATGAAATTAAAACTTCAAAGCATTCAAATTTTGAAAAATATTCTGACAAGTTTTAACAGTATCAAACTAACATATAAGTAACCAATGTTAGCTAATATTTTAGCTAATATTTAATGCACACTATGTGCTAAGAATTTTGCTTAGACTTTGATGTTAACATAGTATGTAATTTGACTCAGTAGGATTATTATTGTGTCTGCTTTAGTGTGAGTTACCATAGTACAAAATTACTAGGGAAACAAAAAAAAGAACCATTAACAAAAGTCTTCCTAGAACTTAGAAATTCTATACTTTTGTTACAGTTATAAAACTGATGATTTTTTAAAATAGAAAATAATGAATATATATATACGAGAAATCATTCCCTGGGGGGATGGTCACACTCCTCCATTCTCTTCTCGGGATCTTGGACACGCATGCACACGTGCCCGCTGTGAGTTTAAGCCACTGGGTGTGGGCCTCAAACCATGGTCGATTACATGGGAGTCCAGAGGCATAGTCATTATGCTAACTGCTGGTCCCAATAATGGATATTTTTAAAGGAATAGCAGTAACTACTAGTTCAGAAGGTTAGAAATTAGCATAGGGCCTACAGGTGGCATGGTGATTAAGGCACTGGACTGTCACATGGCCAAGTGTGGTTTAAGTCGTGGATCTGGTGGCTTGCTTTCTTTCTTTCCCTCTCTCTCTGTCTTTCTCTGGTCAAATTAAAAAATAATAATAATAATAGTAAATTAAATTAAATAATTCTTTAAAGAACAGAAAATAAATTAATGGACTGGAATAATAAATTCCGAATTTGTGGACAATGTAAAAATCTGAACTGAACTTAGAATAATGTGTAGAATTTATATAATTAAAGAATAGAAGTAGTCCTTCTCAAATGAAGCATCAGGTGTGACAAAGTTCACAGGCCAGCATCCATACTGAATGTAGGAAAAGGAGCTTCCAAAAAGGAGACTAAAGCTTTACAGTGGGTAAGGTTTAAATGCAGCATTAACTAATATACTATGTTCTAAAAGCTGAGTGTTTGGCTTTTTTATTTGATATAACAAGCCATTGATAATAGAGTTAAGTTTAAATACACAGAAGTTTGTCCTGTCTTAATCTATAAATTTTCCCCCTCAAAATTGGGGTTATACTCAACTATTTAAATCCCTTTTATAGGGTTATAAAATAAAAGTATTGAATTACAATTGGTTCAAATATCTGATCACAGGTAGGTTGTTAGAATGTTTTGCTAGAATTACAAGAGAATTGAGAGTGGGGTAGAACTGAGATTGGATACAGACACGTGGTTTGGGAGTGTGTAAAAATGCAGTCAGTGATAGAAGGGATTGAGGATGCAATATAAACCGAGAATGGAAAGTATTGAGAGGGAAACGACTAGAGGAATCATTTCAGAAATGTGTGGGCAATGCAAAATGTGAGTGTTACAGGTGACCCACAGAGGGAAACTGGCAATACTATCTACAGCATTCTTTAAGACCTCAGGCATCAAAATATTGTGCAGAGATGGGGACTCAAAGTTAGATGGTGTTGTGGGCTATAGGAGGAAGAGAATCTATACTCAGGTAAATTGTTTTTACAATGTGTTTATCTTTGGTGCAGTCATAATACAACCCTTTGCGATGCAGAAAAGAGAACTCGGATTTACATCCCAAGGTCTCTCCATGCATGCCAGCACACACGTGCCCAGGATCCTGGCTGGTTCAGGCATGGAAACTCTTTGGGGAGTGCTCTTTTTCATTCTCTCTTTCACTTTCTCTTTCTCCCTCTCTCATGGAAGAAATGAATACTTGTTAAAAGGAAAAAAGCATGCATCTTTAAGAAATACAGGAAAATCCCACACATATAAAATTAATCTAAAGCAGAACTAAACAGACAAATAGAATAGAACAAATTCACAATGGCTAACTACATTTTAACTTCCTTAATTTGATTTTAAAAGCATCCTCCCTTAAGGATGAAGATGAAGTAGGCTGAAATCAATGCTCAGTAAAGCTCGAAGTAAAGAGAAGTATTTATTTGGAAGTAATTATATAGCTTAGAATATCTTCCTGAGACTGTTTTTACATTCTGAATTTATGAAAAATGTATAGGGAAATAATAAATATTATTGAATATTAATTCAACAAATTCATTCTTTGGACATTAGCCAACTTTCCTATAGTTTGTGAAAATTGTGCCCTTCACAATATTTTAATGTCTTCATCTATTTTTAAAATATTATTTGATCCAGATAGTACTGTAAAAAGCAAAGCAAATGTTTCAAATTATAACTGCCACGCTCATGGCATTTTCAAAGACTTTTGCATTTTGAGAATGTCTATATTAATTTGGTCTAGAATAATAGTCAGAGTTACTTTGACCTCCAATCTGTCCCACCAAATTTAAATGTATTGACTGCCAATGGTATTGGGAATATATCATATAATGAGTTTTCATGTAATTTTTCCCAAGGTGTTTTTGATTCATATTATTTTTCATATATAATAAAGTTATTTTTCAAATTATCAGAAATCTTATAATTTGGCATAATTTGAAGGGTTAGTGCTACGTAATAAAATAACTTATTTCTAATTCTTTTTATGAAACTCACCTTTTAAAATTCTAATCTTTCTTATTCTTGATTACCTTCAGTGATCCAAATACTTCAAAAGTTTGTGGAGAAAAGGAATAAGAGTACAATGATATTTTGATGCAAAAACATTCAAAAATCCATATTTTTTCATAGTATTTTTTCATAACTTTTTCAAGACTCCCTATGTATATGTAATAAATTATTTTCAAAATAGATTTATTTTCTAAGTTATGCATAGGATTAGGTGAATATAAACTAATTTAATTAGTCTAATGGGTAACGATAGCAAATTGACTTTCTTCTGAACTCATTGTGTTTCAATGCTACCTACAGTTTATTAAAGTCATGATCACTTGTCAATAGATGGCATTATGTTTAATTGTATATAGGTAGACATTCTCAATATTTTTATACAATTTACATCTTATGAAGAAGTTAAGTCCTAGCCAGCTTTGTGCAGTGGCAGTATCGTAGCCAATGAGGTTTATCTGAGGTGCAATTATTGCTAATTGAAAATGAAGAAGTTAAGTCTTTAGGTAGTAAGTAAGTCATTAGCTTTTATAAAATAAATATATGTGACAACATTATTTATAAATGTGATCATGTTGCTATTTGTCTATTGAAATGTTAATCTTTAGCTTGGTAAACTATTCTTTTTAGACATGACTTTTTGAAGTTTATAACAATTTATATTGGAAAAAAATTGCAGATTTGGTATATACCAATAATATTCATTAATCAATTCATTATCTTTTCAAGATTTGGTATATACCAATAATACTAGTTAATCAATTCACTATCTTTTCAAGAAGAAGATTAAAAAAAAAAACAGTGATAACGAGCAGAAGATGAAATCATCTTATTTTATTCCCGTAGATTTCTCTATCTTCATAGTGTGGCACATTCCATGTATGTGTTAAGTGGTAATTGTGCATTTCTATTTGTGTCTGAAGCTGCAAACTTGAGGTATATGGAAAATACACAGCATACATGATCTTCTAAAAATACTTTAATATTTGTTTAATTTAGTTATTATTTATATAGTTGAAACCTAAACATATGAAAATATGACATAAGAGGTATATAGATCTGTCAGTTTTCTGCAATTAACACACTTTTATGGGCTTACTCCAAATAAAGTAATATGGCCCTTGAGTGATCCATACTTGTCATTTCATCCATCACCAAGCCAATGGTAATACTCATTTACAAAATTAAAGATCAGTTTTATTTTTAAATAGCACATGAATCAAGTCAATAGTTATTTTTTAAAATTATTATTATTCTAATTTATACATTCAATCATTCTACATCACTACACCTTGTAAAATGTATTACCAAACATGAATACCCTTTATACCAGTCCCAGTCCAGCTGAAGATATCATACATGTTATCATCAACAGACAGTCCTCCATTTCTACCTCCACTAAATGTCTTATGGATATATTTTTTTACTCAACAATAAGTTTGTAAAGTGTGTGTATATTATTTCCTGTGGAAGTAGCTCAGTCTTTTTTTTTGTACAGTATTAGTTGTATCAATATGCTGTACCACAATTTGGTTACCAGTTATACTGTTAATACATTTTGGGGTTCCTTTAGTCTTTGTTTATTGAGAACATCAATGTTCTAGGACATATTTTTAGTGTCTTTTAGGAGTAATGAGTAGCAGTGAAATTGCTAGAACATAGGGTCTACATATCTACATATAACTAGCATTAGTAAACAATGTCAATTTTTCTAAAACTTTTCATCCGTTTTATTTTATTTTTTATTTTTAGATTCTTTTCTCATAGGATGCATGCACTTGCTGGAGTGAAAGGGACAGAGAGAGACAGAGGGAAAGTGAGAAATCAGCCCCCAAGGGAGATGGTCAAACCATAGTTTCTTTTCCTCCATTCTCCCTCTGGGACTTAGGGCACTCATACACACATGCCCAGTGTGATTTCCAAGGTGCCAGGTCCAGGATTCAAACTGCTGTAGGCCATGTGGGAGTCCAGTGCTTTAACCACTGTGCCACCTGCTGGCCCTAGTTTGCACTTGTTTTAATTCCTAGCAGCAGTGTTTCCAAATTTTAGTCATTCAACATTCTATTTAGTATTTGGTATTGATCGTCTTTTTTAAAGTTTTATTCTTTAGGGGACAGCAGGTAGTGTGCTAGTTAAGGTGCTGGACTTATGGCAGACTGTGGTTCAAGTCCTGGACCTGGTGGCTTGCTTTCTCACTTTCTCTCTGTCTCTCTCTTCCCCACACCATGTGTCTCTATGATCAAATTGAAAAATGATAATAATAAATAAAATTAAATAAATAATTATTAAATAAATAAGTAAATGTTAGCTTTTATTTTGCATGTGTTATCAGTCTATTGCACCTAACGTTAAAATATCTCATAGATTTTTTTTGTACCTTTAGATATCCTGTTTTGTAAAATTCCTATTCAATCCTCTTATTTATTGTTCTCATCTGTTCTGTTGCTAATCACCAAAAATACTAGAGTCTGTAATTTACAACAGAAGTTTATTTAGCTCATGGTTTGGCATTTCCTAAGTCTCAGTACTACATCTGCTGTGGACCTTCTTGTTGGTGGATAACATGGCAGATTGTCTCACATGTTGACAGGCAAGAACTTAAGCAGAGCACAGAATGTCTGTGTCTATCTAACTCCTTCTCCTTACAGACCCACCAGCACCCTGTCAGGTCCCTACCTTGTGCCTAATCACTTCCCAACTACCTCACCTTTCAGGACCACAACTGGATCAAGTCTCTTTTTAAATCTTCACAATGCAATCAAATTCCAACACATAAATTTGGGAGGGAGGGACATAGTTAAACTCATCTGGTTTTAAATATTGGGTCTTCTGGCCCAATTTTGGTGGTGCAGGAAATAGCATGCTGATTTGTGGTGTTGGAGGATGCTTGGTTGACTATGGGTTTGGATCCTGAGTCAGCTTGCTGGGAACACATATGCCCCAGATCCTGACTAGCTGGATGGTTTAGGGCAGAGGATTGTGGCATGACAAGACTCTGTCAAGAATGCCTTTCTCTTTCTGTCTTTCATCCCTTCCCTTTTTTGTGTGGACAAATGTGCTTAGATGGCCTCAGATGCAATGCAACCAGTTATTTTCTGTGGTGGCTACTATTATAATGTCACCATTATAGCAGAAGACCTGCATGCTATCGGGAGCTCATTTCATGCTCGATTTGTCAAATCAAATAATAACACATCTAGGAAAATAGGGTAATGGTACCTGTTGCAAAAGTTTCAACAGGAGTGTATTTGAGCTCCAAGAAAAATAGTCCTTTTTTTTTTTCCCTTCTTGGAGACACATTCTATAAACATATTTGTTTCTTTCCTAAAGTACCTATTTAGGGCACATCATCTCCATCTGTTGTTCATCAACTCTCCACTCTGCTCTCTTTGGATTTGTTTCAAGGACAATTCCATTATGGATGAGCTCCAAAGGTGCCTGAGGTATTACCAGCCTCTCCACGAGCTTTCATCTCACATTCTCACGTCTCTGATAAAGTCCTTCTTGAATGAGGGACCACAGCTTATTCTAAGGTCATGGGAATAAGAGAATATTTGTCTTCGTATCAGCTACAGATGTTTTGGAGATAGAAAATATAACTGAGGGAGCATCTCATCAGTGCTAAATTTCCTAACAGCTGCTTTCAGAGCCTGGGTTTCTGATGGAAGAGAATCAAACGTTTGCAGTATCTATGTACCATTTTATCCATCCTCTTGGCTGTAATATAAAGGGACCAAGAAGGCCATTGACTGCACGTGGCATTGACCAGAACTTTAGGCCTGAATTACATTGCTTTCTGGGCTCCAGTTTTTAATCTTAAAGAATCATTTAAATTTTTTTTTGTCTTTTTCTAAAGACAGCATCATATAAACTTCACATATTTTCTAGGACCCACTTTACAAATAAAGATTTCTTTTGCCTGATCAAGCTTCATGATTTTCTTAGCTTTTATATCTATAATAATCTCACAGAGGTTTGTTTTTGTTTTTGCTTTTTGGATTTTTTTTTTTTTTGGAGAGATTTTTGCTATAAGATGTGTGTGCTCTCCAGAGAGCCAGAGAGAAACAGAGAGACAGAAAGCAAGAACTCACTTCCTCCCACCATGGAGGAGGTCATGCTACAATTCCTTCTCCTCCATTCTCCTCTTGGAATTTTGGGCATTCACACACATGTACCTGGTGTGAGTTTCAAGTCTTCAAGTCGCCGGGTCCAGAACTTGACCTGTGATTGGCCACGTGGAAGTCCAGCACCTTAACTATCTTGCCATCTGCTGGTTCCAATCTCATACATTTTTTTTTTAATTTCTCTTTGCTGCCAATTTTTGACTGTAGGTTTTATTAAAATATTCAAAGTTCCACTCATGCACTATACTAGTAAATGCCACATTTCTTTACTTAGGATAAGTTGAAATGAGGATTGTCTGTGTCCTCCAACCCAATGTTCCATCAGATGCTTGCTCTTCCTGTTCACAATTCGGATTCACTTGCAATTCAATCCCTTTTGTTCTCTGCTCTTTTTCTCTAGTATTTTAGAAGTAAACAGAGTCCCTATGAGTACATTAATATGTTCTAAACATATGCTTAAGATAGAATAGGTCTCTTGTGGAGTGAGTTTCAGTTCCACTACTAAAAGGGTTTGTTCTAATCACTAAAACTGGGTGAAATTTTTTTTCTTTTGTTAATCCCTTCTCCATTTTTCCCTCCATTTCAGGATTTAGGGCATGCACACAAGCACCCCAGGCATGTTTTCCAAGTTGGATGCTTTTGATTCAGACTGTCACAGAGTTAACTGTACCTGTAGAGAGACTCCTTCCATCACATCTGCCGTACTGATGAGCATATCATACTCATACAGCTGTTTGTACGTCTGAGGAAAACTTCACATGTCCATGTCACAAATGAATTAGGTATTTCTTGTTACCTGGGTAAATGAGGGGCAGGTGAGGACTGCCTTTCTGTCCTCAAGCCAGTCTGGGGTCTCCATCTGCATCTGAGTTTAGACAGCCTGACTATTTTGCATAAAGTAGTGAAACAGTAGTGGATGTCTTAGCGTTCCCCTGTTTATTTTCTGTGTTACTGTGTACATTAAATGTATCTTCTTCAGGCATATCGTGGCTATTTTGGCCCTCTGTGCTTCTATATAGATTTTATAATCAACATTTCACCCTCTTGCCTGACAGGTCACTGACTATTATTCCAAGAAATAAGATAGTCATCTAGGATAGTTTTTCCATTGTCTACATGAGTCGAAAGAAAGATTTTCCTAATATTGGCAGTGGTTTTCTCAAGTTGAACCATCTTATTCAAACTATTGATCTCCATGGTCTCTTTACTTCCCATGACTATTTCATGCCCCCAGCCAGCACAGCTCTAACTCTCAGTACACAGCACGTCATGCTCAAAAGAGGCATGGAGCCCTCCAGGATGTTTTTTATAGAAAATATACCTCCATTTAAAATTAACGACTTGTGCACAAGCAGGTGGCATGGAAGTTAAGAGACTGCATGCCACATGACTGACTGCATGTTGTAAATCCCAGATTCACCAGCTTAAATA